CGCCAATCAGCGGCGACGCCGGGCGCAGGCGTACCGCGCCGTGACGTCAGGCGAGATGGCGGCGCCGCGCACTGACGTCAGGCGAGGTGGCGGCGCTGCGCGCTGGAGTCAGGCGAGATGGCCGCGCTGTGCAGGTCTTCTCTGGCGCCCTGATCCCCTCACGTGTCCCTCGCGCCTGGGTGGAAGTCCGATAGAGTTCCCCCCAGCATGATCTCCCTCCGGAGCCGCGGCCTCCGAGCGGCCGCTACCTTCGACAGACGGCACCCTCCGTGGGCGCGGTTCAGCGGCGACAGCGCAGAGCCCCGGGCTCCGCTCTTCGACGTGGTCGTCGTGGGCGGAGGACACGCTGGGACCGAGGCTGCCGCCGCCGCCGCCCGGTGCGGCTCCCGGACCCTGCTCCTTACACACCGCGTGGACACCGTGGGTGAGGGTGGCCGCCAGGGCAAGCCTCGGACCTAGGGCCCGACCGGGGGGGGGTGGGCGGCGGCGGGGCCTGGGAGAGGGACAAACTTCTCAACGCTCGCGGGGAGCGCGTTGGTGTAAGCGGTGTTTGCCTGCTGCTAGCTTGTTATTCCAGGTAAAGGCCGAACTAACATCATTATCATCATCATCAATATTATTATTGTGATTATTTTGAGTCGGAGTCTCATTCTGTCGCCCAGGCTGGAAGGCGGTGGCACGCTCATGGGCCCCGCACCGTGCTGGGCTGCGGCGATCCTTCCGCCCCAGCCTTCCAAGTAGCTGAAACTACAGGCACGCGCCACCACGCCCTGGTGTTTTGTTTTGTTTTGTTTAATTTATTGTAGAGACTAAGGCTCACCAAGTTGCCCAGGCTGGTCTCGAATCCCCGGGCTCAGACAGTCCTCTCACCTCGGCCTCCCAAAGTGCTGGGATGGCAGGCTGAGCCGCCGCGTCCGGCCAGGATTAACATTATTAATCACCGTTTACCAAACCTCCGTTGTATTTGCTTTTTATTTAGAGACTTTAGAGACAGTGTCTGGCTCCGTGGCCCTGCCTGGAGTGCAGTGGCATGGCCCTGACGATCCTGGGCTCAGGCGATTCTCTCGCCTCAGCCTCCCGAGTAGCTGGGGCGAGCCACCACGCCCGGCTAATTTTTTGATATTTTGTAGAAATGAGGTCTCCTATGTTGCCTAGGCTGTTCTCGAACTGCTGGACTCAGGCAATCCTCCCCCTTCAGCCTCCCAAAGTGCTGTGATTACAGGTGAGAGCAACCAGCCCGGCCCGGTTAACATTCTGTTTTGTTTTGTTTTATCTTTTTTTTTTTTTTGAGTTGGAGTCTCACTCCATGGCCCAGGCTGGAATGCGGTGGCACACTCACGGGCACCCCTATCGTCGACTGTCCTTCTGCCTCAGCCTTCCAAGTGGCCATAACTACAGGCACTCTACCACGCCCGCCTAATTTTTTATTTTTTTGTAGAGATGACATCTCACCAAGTTGCCTGGGCTGGTCTCGAACTCGTGGGCTCAGGCAATCCACTCGCCTCGGCCTCCCAAAGTGCTGGGAAAAAAAAAATTACAAATAAATCTTGTTTGTATACTGAAATAATCTTTTTTAAAATTGTCATTCAGCTCTTAACTGTGGAGCAATATATGCCATTAACAGCAATTCTGGAAGGGAGAGGAGGCTATGTGATTACCCAAAAGGTTACACTTTTCTCATTTCAATGTTCACATTTTTTTTTTTTTTTTTTTTATTTTTGAATTGGAGTCTCACTCTGTCACCCAGGCTGGAGTGCAGTGGTAAGATCAAAGCTCACGCTTTGGGAGGCTGAGGTGAGTGGATTGCCTGAGCCCGCGGGTTCGAGACCCGCCTGGGCAACTTGGCGAGACCTCATCTCTACAATTAAAAAAAAAAAATAGGCCCGGCTTGGTGGCTCAGCCTGTAATCCCACGCTTTGGGAGGCCAAGATAAGTGAATTGCCTGAGCCCGCGGGTTCGAGACCCTCCTGGGCAATTTGGTGAGACCTCATCTCTACAATAAATAAAAAAAAAAATTAGCCAGGCGTGATAGCGGGTGCCTGTAGTTCTGGCTACTTGTAAGGCTGAGGCTGAAGGATCCCCGGAGCCCAGCAGGTCGAGGCTGTGGTGGCCGGGAGCGGCCACTGCATTCCAATTTGGGCAACAGAGTGAGACTCCGATTCAAAAAAATAAATAAAGGGTGGTGCTACCTCTGCAACTAAAAAAGGAGTCTAATGAACAAAAAGTATTATTGAAATAAGGTGATCGTTAAATAGTATAAGTCATGTGGTGTAGTTCAGTCATGGATAAAGAGAGTCCCATCAAAACTCATATTCTGTCCAGGTGTGATGGCTCACACCTGTAATCCCAACACTTTGAGAGGCTGAGGCAAATGGATTACCTGAGCCCAGGTGTTCAAGATCAGCCTGGGCAACATAGTAAGACCTCATCTCTACAAAAAATAGCCAGGTGTGATGGCATACAACTGTAGTCCCAGCTACTCTGGAGAATGAGGCAGGAGGCTCTCCTGAGCCCAGGAGGTCAAGGCTGCGGGAGCTATGATCATGCCACTGCACTTCAGCCCAGGTGACAGACTCTGACTCAAAAAACAAAATCATTCTTCTATCGAAGTGGTGTGATATAAGTTTTATATTTAAGTAAATTTCAGAGGTATTTTAATAACTTACAGATGAGCTTATTGAATGACAATTCTATCTTCAAGCCAGTCTCATTTTTAAAGGTAATTTGATATTGTGGCATATCTCGTATTTTTGCTTGATTTCAAAGATAATTTTGGCTTAGAAAGTTGAAATTTGTAGGAAAACGAAAGCAAGAGTTGTCCATTTGTCATTCAGTTATGTCATCTGCCAGTATCTCCTTTTGAAATCAGAGGCAGAAAGTGTTATATTAACCTGGAAAATAATGTTTTCTGGCAAATTTTGTTTTGGCTTTTGTGACAATGAGACTTTCTGAACCTGTTTATAGATTGTTAGACCTTCTGAATCTAAGCTCCAATGTGTACCAGTTGTGTGACCTTGGACAAAAGACAACTTGTGTATAAGCCTCATTTTCTTTTTCTGTGAAATAGAAGTAACAGTAGTAGTACCAGTCTCATAGGGTTGCTATGAAGTTTAACTCAGAAAATACACATAAATCACTTGGAACAGTGCCTGGCCAATATTAAGCGGTGAGATATTAGCTGTTGGTTTTACTATAAGCTTTTCTATATTGCTAACTTAAATTCTTTTTTATTTTTTGTACAGGCAGGGTCTCACTATGTTGCCCAGGCTGGTCTTGAACTCCTGGCCCCAAGTGATCCTCCTGCCTTGGCCCCCCAAAGTGCTGGGATTAAATACATGAACCACTACATCCAGCCTTAAATTCCTTTACCTGAGTGAGAACTGGGCTGATTTAAACATTTTCACTACCACTGCCTACCCCAAGTACTGGTATCACAGTTCTGATGTTATTAAGCTCTGTTTAAGAGCACAGATGACCAATAGAATGTATTTCTCTAAATGATTGGGAATGAATGCTGGCTTCCTGGAGTGCTGTGTTGGGAAAGATTTGAGAGCTAAGCAGAAGAGAGTGACATGTTCCATTTTTATACCTATAAGGATAAAGGTTCAACATTGATACATACATTTCCTTGAGAGAAGATTTTCAGCAATTTAAAAGATTGGGATTTCTCTGTACTTTCACAAATGTGAATTTTATAAATAGAAATACTGTAATATTTACTATTTCAATCAAATGCCTTAGAGTTATTTATTAATAGTTTAGTGTTGTAGGAAAGTGGTCAAATTTTAATAATTTATTCTTAGAATTTTTTTCATTTTATTTCTTTGTCTCCATTGTGAGTGAGGAGACATTTTTGGGTATAAATGTTTGAGGAAATTTTCAGAAATTAGTGAGCGTCAGAGTGGTTTCTTTTTAATTAGCCGATATGTAATGAAACCAGTCTGGGCGACAGAGTGAGACTCCAGCTCAAAAAAAAATAAAAAATAAAAAAGCTAAGTCATTTTGATGAGTAGCTGTTTCTAGCCAGATGCAGTGGTTCATGTCTGTAGCCCCAGCTACTCAGAAGGCTGAGGCAGAAGGATTGCCAGGAGTTTAAGGCTGCAGTGAGCAATAATTGTGCCACTGCACTCCAGCCTGGGCAACAGAGTGAGACCTGTCTCAAAAACAAAAAAACAGCAAAGTATGTAAGCATGCTATGTAAATAGATGTAAATAGTACAGAGGAGTTTTGTAAGTGTTCCTGGATTGAAAGTTTATTTTAAGATTAAAAATAATTTTTTAAAAATTTATTATAGAGATGAGGTCTTGCCATGTTGCTCAGGCTGGTCTCAAACTCCTGAACTCAGGCAATCCTCTTGCCT